AACAATTCCTTTTTGGGAATTGCATCGGGGCTGCAAATGTCGGATGTATCCTCCTGACTTTCATCTTCACAATCTAGCATCACCTAGCAAGATCGCTGTTTAAACACCGTTATGTTCCAATTTGAAGCACCAATTCTTTTGGTTGATTCAGAATTTGGAGAACGGTTTTCGATTTTAGTTTTTGTAATCCATTTTTACTCCTGTCTTCTGTGACTGGTTTGAAAATTGAGCGCTTATAGCGAGGTTGTGAATATGTTGATACGGCGAATAAATTATTTTCTAGGAATGAAAATTTCGAAAAAAATTCTATTTTGAAAGTCGTGGCTGCCAGCAGAATTAGTTTAAAATCTTGTTATTTTGTTAAAAAGGTACCCCGTTTCTTATAATAATTTGAATTATGGATTCACGGACGATAAAGGTCTTAGATTTGCATAGTTCCCGGGTGACTTCTGGGAAAGGTTCGCCTGTAATGAATACCTTGTAATTAGTTTCTTTTATTATGAGCTCGGCCTTTCCTTGCAGGCAGTCAGAATTAATTACTCACCACTTTCGGTACCATAAGCCATCAAATCCGTTTTGTTGTTCCATTCCATGCGCTCAATGTGTTTTGATATATTTTTTGAGACGAATGAACGCAAATTTTCAGCATACATATGTATCAGGAACCGTAAATAATAGTTACTTTGTTCAACAGCTAAACTTGGCCAGATATTTTTAATTCGATAATAAAAGTCCTTTCCTAACAATAAACAAACCGCCTATCCAAATTTAACAAGTTTGGTATCAATTGAAAGAGGACTAAAATAGCTTTAAAACTGAAATATTTAAACGAGGGAAGCCAGCAGAAAGCCAGCTATTGGAAAATATTTAAATAAAAAATGTTATTTAATTACCATAGACAAAACTTTCCTTACCTACTATACCTGACGTATATGCATTTATTTTGTATTAAATTATAAAAAAAATATAAATAGAAGTGGTAGCCTTCGATAGTTGTTTCTGTTTAAAAGCTATTTATCCTCTTTTATTTGGTACCAAATTTATTTAATTTGAATAAGCGGTTTGATTACTATCCGGAAAGACTTTTATTTCGAACTTAAAAAATACCTGGCCAAGTTTAACTGTTGGGAAAAAATAACTGCTATTTACGGTCACTGATATGTATCGTTAATACTATTTCACATTGTCGCTGAAATGCAACAAACCACAACTAACTAAATTTTTGTATTGCCTAAAACGATGTAGGGACTTATGATTCGATGAAATGGATCATAATCAATCAAAAAGTTAATTTTGGATTTTTAGTTAGTTACGGCTTTATGTATTTCAGCAACGATGCGAGTTAAGCCCTTTCCATACTATACTAACATGGAAGTCCCACCCCTCAATAGATATAAAATTCACCTTGAATTAATTCTTATTTAATTTGTGATCTTGGCTGTCGACTTATTTACATATAATTTCATCTTTATTTCGATGCGTGATAATTTTGACAATTTATACAAAATTAAAATAAATGTTTTTGTTTTCAAGCTGAAAGACTAATAAAAGGAAACACGGAACTTAAGAAAAATAAGTTTTATGAGAAAAAAATAATTAAACTCTTTTAAGAAAAAGTAGAAAAATACTAGGGATGCATCCAGTTTTTTCAACAGACCTTTGACAAATAATATTCGATAGTTACATAATTCTTACCTTATTAAAGGCAATCTTTTAACGCGCAAATAGCCGACTCTCTTTATAGCCAGTCGTTGAACATTTCCGCTGGAAATACCTACTATTATCTTACTCTTTGACTTTAAATAACGAAAGAAGGTCGACGTATGGGACAGTCTTAACGTAGCATCTCCACAGGCAAAACAATTTTGGCTAAAATTTTTTGTTTGCCAGATATACGTTTTATCAGTGCACTTACACAATATTCGCATTTGCAAAAGATTCGCATTGATTATTGCGAATGCGAATGTTAAAATTTATGCGGAACTTCCGCGGTTGCGAATGCGAATGCGAATATTCGCAACAACCCTGGTACAAACGTGTATATTAATACCCAGTAGAAATTTTATGCATGCGACATCGCTGTTGGTGGCATGAGCTTGCTGCTGTGTATACATGCCAGTATAAATTAACCTTCATTTTCATTTAACAAGCGTGGTTTCTCAGAGCGTGTGCATACTCTAACCATACACTTGTACTACTGCTGTATGCATATGGCTGTATTAATGTTTCAAACATACAAAAATGCATTAATGGGAAAAGTATTAAAGCATTCTTACAAGATATGTATCCCCATATGTAAATGCCGCTTTTCGGACATACAAAAAAGGAGCATTAACATATCATCGTCTGGGTATAACATTGCCGTAAGCGTCATACGTACGTGCGTAACATACGACAATCTTTTACCCAGGCGACGATACGGAAATGCATATCTTGTAAAAGCCCGTTTTTTTGCTGAAAATAGTATCACACAACACTTAAAACAACAACAACGTACGTTCGCTTGCAGTTCGCTAGAGTTTGAATTCATTTGTGGAAATTCATGCCTACGCATGAATTGTTCACACTAATTCACTCATATAGCAAGCATTCTTCATGAATGCATACAACCGATTTCTACTGGGTACATATCAACATACATATGTGCATAGGTATGTATGTACATTAGACTGCATCACTCCCCATACAAAAAAAACATCGGTACTATTTTTCCATTGGAATCATAAAATCTAGTATATTTTAAGACGTCCACCAATATATTTCAGAAAAATATTAAGATTTAAGTGAGCTGGACCGATTTGAAAATACCTCCAAAAATGGAGTTTTTTATGAATAAAAATAGTTTCTTAAAGATTTTTTTGAAAAAATCTCCTCAAATGACAAAACGGTTAAGCTTAAAATATTTGCATAAAAATATTAAAACAAATTTAAAAAAAATTCTTAACGGAATCGTAATGATGAGGTTTTTGATGCTGTTTTTTAACTTTTTTCAAAGATTGGTATAGGAAAAACTTGAATAACTGAACCTAAACTCTTCCGATTTAGACTTGAGAGGTGTCATTGGAAAGGTATTTTNTTGAGAGGTGTCATTGGTAAGGTATTTTCTCACCCTTTTTATTTCTTTGCTAATAAACTCATTCAAAGGATGGAAGAGAAAGGTAGGATGAATGAAAGTCATTCAAAGTTGAATTAAGATGTGTTGGTATTCGAAAAAACAAAATGGGACACGAACGACGATATTTTGGCCAGAAATAAAAACAGTGTGAAAATACCTTTCTACTGAGATCCCATATGTCTAAATCAGAACATTTTTGAAACAGTTATTCAAGTTTTTCGTAAACCAATCTTTGAAAGAAGTAAAAAAAACAGCATCAAAAATCTCATTCTTACGATTCTGTTGAAAAGATTTTCCAATATTTTTATGCAGATTTTTTAAGCTTAATCTAATTTGTCATCTGAGGGGACTTTTTTCAAAAAGTTCTTTAAGAAACTATTTTTATTCATAAAAAACTTCATTTTTGGACGTATTTTCAAATCGGTCCAGCTCGCTTAAATCTTAATATTTTTCCACAATATTTTGGTGGACGTCTTACAATATAATAAATTATGTAGTCCCGGCGGAAAAACCGCAACTTTTTTTGGTGATGCAGTCTAATGTACATGTATCTAGCATGAATGCTGCCGATTATTCTAAAAACATGTGAATCGCGCGTGCAAAGACCCCATTAGAAATGAATGGATCCCTTGCTGACGTAGCCGTGAAATGTCAAAAATCTAGGATTTAAAATTATCAAGAAAATAATATGGACTTTGTTAATTGCTGATCCTATATTGAATGAGACTATTTCCTGAAAGTACATTGATACATATGGACCTACAAAAATTTTATTGTTTGTATATATGTATGTAAATTGTTTGTAAATATTTTATGCATGCACAAGTGATTGACTTCAGACTATGTATCCTTACCGCAACACATATTCGTTTATGCAAACAAACAACTGTGCATATACATGTGTACATACACATATATAGCCGTATCAGGCATCGACGACCTCTCAAGCACTCGAGTAAGCAACACTCAATTCAGTCACAAGCTATGAGTACCGATTAAATTATCATTAAAACACCATAAGTTGGATGGGCCATTTTACTGGAACACAACATTGCTTATTTAACGATAATGAATTGATAAAGCTCACATCGAACAGATATTTCTGATGGAAAAGAAACAATTTACCCAAATACATATGTACATATGCACATTCATACCTACTCTTTATATGTAGAAATACATATGTATGTATGTATGTACTATGTACATAAGTGTGTTGTCGTTCCAATTAATATTAGTCATTTGCAAGTCTAATTGTGGAGAGCAATTTTTTAGTTATTTCTCAGTCAAAGAATTACATGTGCAACATGTTTGTCCCACAGCCCATAAAGATTATAAGAAGTAAAATTAAATATTGCTGCATAATTACACGATGCTATAAAAAAGTCACGAAATACACCCGAAACAAAACCTAATGCAGGTTGTAGCTACCCAGTAAAAAATTGGTAATCGCTTTTAGTGGTAACGTGTTCTAGAAGGCATAGCCTTCGAATATTTTCGCTTCTTTCAGGCATTGCCGGTAATGCAAAGTAGAATGTCCTAAAATATTTCTTTTATTTCGCTTATTTGTTTAATTTCGGGTAATGCAAAGTACAACGCTGCATCGTTGTCAGCTGAAAAATAGAACGAATATCCAAAAATTCTTTCTACCGTTACTTTCTGTGGAAATTAGTCTCGCATAAAAATCATGTTTTGCTTTGTTCAATTTGCAGCGAAGTTGAAGTCGGTCATGGAAGTGAAGTACAAGAGTGAGGAAGTAAAATCTATATACCTAAATATATCTTTGATAAATCTTTTAAGACATTTTCTGATTTCAATTTAATATAAATAAGTATGTACTTATTTAGGCATTCTACATTAGTTTCTCTGTAAGGCATTCTTTGTTCGCTTCTCTGGATTCTGTTTAACAATAAGCTTCAACAGCAGTTCAGTCGTTTTTATGCAATGTCTTCGATTGAAAACATTTTTAAAAGCAATGAGTGTTTATATAATCAAAGCTCCGAGGGATATAGGCACACTCAAGCAAAACAAAGATTGTGGAATGAAATAGGAGACGCTCTGCAGAAAACGGGTGCGTACATGTGCTAAATAAATTCAGAATCATTACCAGCAAAATGAAAAAGTGTATGGAAAAAGTAAAGTGCCCGAATTTGGACGGGAATGTTTAGTTATTTGCCCAATGATTTCCGGTTAATGTGTCCAAATGGGTGATCCGATCCAAGAAAATTTTAACACGCTTATAGTCAAGGGAGTAAGCTTTATTTTAAAACCTAAATGTTTAATGTTCGGTAACTAATTTATTAAAAAATTCAGTCTGCAATATGCACTTTTCTGTAAATGTGTGACGGGTACTGTTTAGCTATTTGCCCAATGATTTCCAGTTATTGTGTCCAAGTGGGTGATCCAATTCAAGAAAATTTTAACACGCTTATAGTCAAGGGTGCAAGCTTTATTTTAACATGTCAACCCCTGTTACGTCTATATGTTTTTCTATATAATACGAATCTTTATTCTATTTATGTTACGTTATATTGTGATTTTTACTTACTCATTTTTTGTAGTGCTAAGACTACAAGGCATAACACAAAAATTCAACAATTTATGTTTGTACATATATACATACAGTTGTCCACGAAATAGCAGGAGTGCGATACTTTGACCACAATGCGATGCTTTGATTACAAACCTTATTACAAAAATTGAAATTTTGGTGAAATTTCGCATGATTTTTATTATTTGTCAACAAAGTTTGAAATGTTAATTTGTATGGTGTTTGTTGTACTACCAGCTGGACTTTTTTAAAAAAATAATAAACATTAAACAAACAAAAGAAAAATAGTCAAACCTGGTCAAAGTATCACACTCCTATTATTTCGGGGACAACTGTAAAGTAACAAAGTGTTAGATTTATAAAATAAGTTAAATTATTTACACAATAATGGTCCTGCCATTCCACCGCGCCAATACCATTGAAATACTTTCTAAATTCTTCGCGTATCTGTGTTGATCTACTACCTCCTCGGGTATTATTTTGAGACAGTGGTACTAAATTGGGTTCTGGTAGAGGTAGTATATCACTGTTTGTAATTTGCGTTGGAAGGGGAATATTGGCCTCTCGTAAAATGTTATGCAATATACATAAACTAGTGATGAGGTTGTTGGTAACTTTTGGTGCGGTTGCGATTGGCTGGAAAAATATTCGGAAATATGCACACAATATTCCAAAAGCATTTTCCGTGGTTCTCCGTACTCGAGAAAGACGATAATTGAATACAGCTTTAGATTTATCAGATAGTGATAGCCTTCTAGGATATGGCTTCATCTCCGACAAACACACAAGGCACTACTGTTGTTCCGATACGAGTAACTACAAGTAATTACTCGATACTTCCTTCAAGTACTGAGTGTTTTTTGTACTCGAATCCTTCCCCCAAGTACTTAGGTGGGTATCGAATTATCGATTAAATTATTACTTGCTTTCCAAAAATTCTGAATTACGGTTCTGACAATATATGAATCATACTGTTGTGGTTTTTGCACCACTTTAAGTTGGCTAATAAAGAAAGTGTCAATTCTTGCTTTCCCGTACTAGTCAATTATTAAAATTTTGCAAGATACAGACTTGTGGCCAGTGTTGCCATTTTAGCCGTTTTCCGGCTAGATTTAGCCGGTTGCGATAGCAAACAGCCGGAGAAATTTCGATCTAGCCGGCAGCCGATTTGTTAGCCGTTTTGCAGAAAAAATCTAGCCGTTTTTAGCCGATTTTGCTATTTGCCTTGTTTTCTTAAATTTCAAATATGTATATATGTTTCCATTTTTGACTAAGCGACCCAAAATCTGTTAGAAATGGCTACTAGCCTTATCGTGGAGAAAATTTTCATGTCAGGCAGGATTGTATGAAATTGGGCCGATTTCGCTTATTTTTATTTTAAACGAAGAAGGGATTTTCTTCATAAAATGTTTGTTATAAATGTCTTAATTTTAAGTGTGAAGTTTTATTCGAAAACTTAGAAAATAAGAAATTGTTTCACTGTTAAGACTCTTAAGATGCGTTTGTGTTTGGATATAGTGCCAACAAACAGAATAAATATTACATGTAGATATTGTCTTCCCGGATAGCGCATATTCAATTCTGCCTAAATTAAAAAACATAACTTCTGCCCACTCCCTAAGGTTTAAGGTAATGGAAAAATTGATATTTTCAAGCACTATGTACACATATGTATTTTTTTAAACAAACGTTTTTGTTGAGAACTTATTCAAATTCCAAAAAACCGAATGCCAACTTAAATTAAAGGAACCAACACTGAAGTGAGTCAAAATGAAAATAAAAGAGCACAAATTT